GTCCTGGAGGCTCTGAGGACGGGGGCGGGGTTTCACGCTTCTTAAAGGAGACGAACCCAGATTTCCATGGAATGTAGTCTTCGCTGATCAGACAGCCATAATATTTCAGATGTTTCCGAAACCTACAAAACCAAACGGGCACATGATACCAGGTTGTCACTATGACACAAAGCTCATGCATCCATAGCCGGGGTCTATTAAACATTGTCTTATTGCTCTTCCAAAGGATGTAGGCTAAAGCTTTAGACCTCACTGTGTTAGGTTAGAGTCAAGAGAACATAGACTACAGACAGGGGGCCATAGTGAACAAGACAGAGGAATGTGGGGTGGTCATAAGCAGGTGGGCCATGTGTTGCTTCCCTAGTTCGCTCATTAAAGAGTAGAGCCAGTGATGTCCCATTCAGGGACATCATTTTTGAACATGCATCTGTGAAGAAGCATGTAATGAAATACACCTGCACACAGCAATTACCTCACCTTTTCTCTAACTCTGATGGCCTTTCACCACACCTAAGACCACACTGCCTCTTTATACCTTAAATATCTCAAGCACGTCGCCTCCGGGAAGGTGGATCTGAGACTTCTAGCTCCTGGCTTGGCTGCCTTCTCCCCTGCAAACATTGGCATATCAGCGTTTGGCTTCCTGCGCCTCTGGTGCAGTAAAAACTTCATATTCACTGTTTGTAATTGCCCACAGTTGGAGTATTCATACCAGGGAAATTGGCAAACACAACAATCAAGGTTCGGTTAGTTGTTTTATACGTGTCTAGACTTAAAGTAACAGAGAGTAGGTTAATAATGAGGACCATACGTGATGAATAACGATGTGAGCACATTTATTCCACCCAGCGAAGTCACTGAAGAAAAGTCAAGTTCCAACAGATTTTTGCCTTCTCAGTTACTAATAAAAGACAGACATTTTATCAAAGAAGACATACACCTGGCAAATGAACAAAAATGTTCAACATCATGAATCATTAGGGAAAAGCAATTAGACCATAGTGAGACACCTCTACACATTTAAACAGGTAATACTGAAACACTAGCCATATCAACCAAGTACTAGAGAGGAATACAGGAAAACTGGAATGCTCTCATACTGTGAATGGCACACAAAAGGGTATAGTCATTGAATTTTGAATATGAAACCATACGTACATATAAAGAATTTATTAAGCTTATCTGTCATAGACAAAAAGGATACAAACCACAAAACCCCATTCTTTAACAGATGTATGGATAAACAGTCAGTGGGTGGTATATCCAAACAATATATTTTTCAGGAAAAAAAATGAATTATACTTATCAGCAACTTAAATGATTCTCAAAATAATTATGCATCATGAAAAACAGACAAATATAAAAGTAAACATTAAGACCCCAGTGATATTAAGTGTAGAAAACACTAATGGAATGGGAAAAAAGTAAATCAATACTAGTTGCCTGGGAGTCCTGGGAGAGCTGTCAGAAGGTGGATATGGGAGTGATGGATGTTTGTAATTATGATGGTTCTGTGGGTTTACACGTATTAAAACTTAACCAAGTTGTACATTTCAGGTATGTTCAGTTCAATGCATACCAACTATACAGCTCAATTAAATTTAATAGAAATTGGGGCTTCCCTGGTGGCGCAGTGCTTGAGAGTCCGCCTGCCGATGCAGGAGACGCGGGTTCGTGCCCCGTTTCGGGAAGATCCCACATGCCGCGGAGCGGCTGGGCCCGTGAGCCATGGCCACTGAGCCTGCGCGTCCGGAGCCTGTGCTCCGCAAATGGGAGAGGCCACAACAGTGAGAGGCCCGCATAACGCAAGGAAAAAAAAAAAAAAAAAAAAAAAAAAAATTTAATAGAAATTGGATTCACATAAAAAATCTGAATCTCTTTTCTGAATCTCCTTTTCAGTAGAACTCTGGCAACCACATGTTAACCCCATCACATCTCCTTGTCTAATGGGAGGGATTCTGTTGTGGTAGCAATGAAGACTGGTGAGCAATGAAAGGTGTTTCCATGTGAGTTATCCAGGAACTGCCTGCATCCTAAAAACCACATGCCTGGACTACACGATTTCCACTTTTATTACCCATTATCTTTGCTATGCACCAATGGCCTTGAGATAAACAATCTGCAGATGCTACGGGATCCCAAAACCTTTACATTATTCAGCCTGACACTGACTGGGACCTCAGGAGAGAAACCACTCTGTAGCTCCTGACAATTTTTGCAAAAACATAATCCTAAACAGCCACAGTCAAGGGAACTTTCATGGATGCAATTTTAGAATAGGTTCATCTCTTTTTGTTTGCTAGTCACTCACTCCCTATTAATTCCCTGTTTCTGTACCAAATATGGTTCCCACCTGATGTCTGTAATCTAACGCTCAGCAACACCAGCCTACCATGTTATGGACATTATGGCACATGGCTCTTTTCCAGCTGGACCTAGAAAACTCCTTCTCTTGAACAGTACTGGGGTCATGATGTGACATCCCATGTGAAAAAAGAGAACTTATGCAGCTCCAAAAAACACTGGTGGTTCATACAACTGTCCTCATCTCAGGGTGACCTCGGGACCCACCAAAAATTCTAACATCCAGGTCACATTAGTCCCAGAGCCCTGTAGTCTACCCCAGGAGGCTTTGGACAACAATTTAAATTAGACCAAAACTGGAGTGAAAACCATTCTCTGCCATGATACTATCCTTACTGAAGAATACAAAGATTGGAATACCCACAAAAGACGTGGCTTAAACTATAGTCTTTATTTTTTCACAGAGCAGAGCAAATGGAGGCAGATAGTTCCCAAACAGGGTGACCTGGAGCTAGAAACATCCATCGTGAGCATGACATAAGACAATACCACCAAGGAAAGTAAACTGTAAGCTGCCAAGGGAACCCACATTGGGTCACCATGGTCAAAGCTGCTTAGGTCCCGTCCTTGACAGAAGAGCATGACAACACCCAAGTGCTCAGGCTATTCATGCTTCCCTCCAGGGGACAGGACAGCACAAAGGTCTACCTACCCTGATCACAGTGCGATGACTGATGCCCAGTACTGGGATCTGCCACTTGGGAGAGGTAAAAAACTTAGTGATATTGAGTCCAGCAAGGGGCTTGCACAGGTTAGAAAGTAGAGCATAGCTCCTGAAAAGCTTCCTATGAAGCCAGTACTCATAGGCAATCTGCACACGAGGGCTGTTCAGATGTATGGCATTCAACTTCCAGTTGATGACTTCCTCAGAGAGTCTATTAAGTATGATGTATTAACTAAGGAGACAGCTCATTCACTGCTCTCATCTCATTTGAAGGCCCTTCTCTAGATGAACTTTCTGGTATCAAATAAGGTAAGACCTTTGGCTGAAAGCTTTCCTACATTTGCTGTACTCATAGGGTCTATCTGAGCTGTGAAGTTTCTAGTACTGTCAGAGCAGACATTTGACAGAAAACTTTTCCACATTTGCTGCACTGATGAGGCCTTTCTGGGGTGTGAGCTTTTCGGTATTGAGTAAGCTGGATGCTTTGGCTGAAGAATTCTCCTCATTCAGAGTTCTCCTCATATGGTTTTTCTCCAATGTGAACTCTGGTGCTTAATAAGAGTAGAGCTTTGGCTAAAACACTTTCCACATTCACTGCACTTATAAGGCCTTTCACCAGTGTGAACTCTCTGGTGTGTAGTGAGAATAGAGTTTTGGCTAAAACATTTCCCACATTCACTGCACTTGTAAGTCTTTGCTCCAGTGTGAATTCTCTGGTGGACCTGAAGGTGGGCCCTTTGCCTAAAGGACTTCCCACATTCACTACACTCATAAGGCCTTTCCCCAGTGTGAATTCTTCTATGTTTAATAAGGCTGGCGATGTACCTAAAGACTTTCCCACATTCACTGCACTCATAAGGCCTCTCTCCAGTGTGGACTCTCTGATGCTGAACAAGCATGCGTTTATAGGTGAAGGCTTTTCTGCATTCTCCACATTCATAAGGTCTCTCTCCAGTGTGAACTCTCTGGTGCTGAACAAGTTTGCTTTTAGTAATGAAGGTTTTCCCACATTCACTGCACTCATAAGGCTTGGCTCCAGTGTGAATTCTCTGGTGCACAATAAGTTGGGCGTTTTGTCTAAAGAACTTCCCACATTCTCTACACTCATAAGGCCTTTCCCCAGTGTGAATTCTTCTATGTATAACAAGGTTGGAGTTGCATCTAAAGACTTTCCCACATTCACTGCATTCATAAGGTCTTTCTCCAGTGTGGACTCTCTGGTGCTGAGCAAGCCTATATTTACGGCAGAAGGCTTTCCCACATTCACTGCACTTGTAACGCTTTTCTCCATTGTGAAAGGCCTCTACAAACTCGGTGTCCTTTTGTGGAGTGACCTGGTGCTGGAGAAGGCCAGAGCTACAAAGGAAATCCATCCCAGGCTCCTGGAATATGAAAGACTTCTTGGATGCATGGATGGTGTGGCTCTTCATAAAGGTCTTACCCACATCTCTTCTAAAGAGTTCCTCTCCAGTGTGCTGGTGAAAGTGCACACCTGCCCCACAGAATTTCGGGCCAGGGTTTGTGCCAAGGTCCTCAGCGAGATGCAAACCACCTTCTAAGTACAGGCAGCACGTCTCCCAGGGATAGGACTTCAGGGTGGACAGGTCTGCCTCTGAAGTATTTATTTGTGGCACTTCTACAGAAACATTCTGCTCAGAAGGTGGCTGCTTGTTCTCTGCTATATAACAACACCCTGAAAGCAGAGAAATATGGGTAAACTTGACATAGGATTTTGGTATAAGGAGGCAGCCCCATCACAAATGTTTGTCTGACATAGAAAGGAATAAATCTATGGGACTGTTTTCAAGACAAGAAGTTGCAAGGACATTAGGCAAGCCCTGCTGTACAGTACTGACCCTCTACACATCACAGGACAGGGAGCACTCACCAGGCAAATGACAGAAGGACGGGGTGGAATGCATAAAGGAGCTAGGGGTCCACAACTCATTCCTCCAGGAACAGTTTTCACTAGGACCTTGGTGACACGTGTATGCTATGTGGAAAGCTGTGTCCAGGTCCAGGAAAATCTGATTTTCACTGAGTAGCTGGCGTTCAAGGACTATTTTGAGGAGAGGTGCAGACCTCATGAAACATTAAGTGTAGGTGAATAGTGGAAAGCACAGCAGAGGGAGGATGGAGAGGAACAATTAGGAGTGGAAGACAGAGAGGTGAGGGATAATTCTGGGTTGGAATTCAGAGTAAAAATCATAGGAGGCAAGTGTCAAGAATGGAGGAGAAACAGAAATGAGGTACACAGTCACTGGCCTTGATACCAAAACAGTGTTGGGTATGGGACATGTTCCTGATATGACGTGAATTGAACCATGATGTCACTTTCTCCCCCAATGCTAATTACCAGGGCCAGGCCATATTTGAGCCCCTCTTGCTCTGTCTGGAGTCATGTCCACTCTGTCATGTACCCAGGGTTCTCCTCTCAGCTCCAGCTGGACAACATGGGACCTAGAAGATGAAAGTCCTAAGAGAAAGACACAACAGGTGAACAGTCAGTACTGGCCCTGGGGACAACCAATCCCAAAACAACCTCAGGAAAAAAAATATGTAACAAAAAGAATCTTTGAGATGAGGGTCTCACAGAAACAGCCAAGAAGACCCCACAAATACTGACCACATTAAGTCCCAACAATTCCTGGAATGGTAAGGCCCTAAGAAATGTCAGCCAGAAGATGGCAGAGCCTGGAGCACAGAGGTGCATGGGTCTACGGAGTTAACTTAGCAGGGAGTGGCTGAGACTAATGGAACCCATTGAACTAATTCCAAGTCTTATGACCCAGAAAAACTTCACTGAAAAAACTTCAGAGCCGCTGGTATTGGGGATACTTCGGAAAGGAGATCGTATACACACTCACTCAGCCTTGGCACCAACAACACAGATGAGAGGGAAGCAGTAATAGAGGTGTGCCCACTGTCTAGCTGTGAAAAAACAGACTTGCCTTTGGAGAAAAGGGGAAAGGTGGAGACCTGCCCGGGATGCTGGGATAGGTGTGAGGGCCTTACCCAATGATGCAACAAGTGCAAAGGTCTCCAGCATGACATCATGGTACAGGAATCTCTGGGCCTCATCAAGAAGCTTCCATTCCTCCTGGGAAAAGTACACAGCCACGTCCTCAAAGGTCACAGAGCCCTGTGATGACAGGGACAGATGTCTCCATAAGCAGCCTCTCTCCCCAGGACCCCATAAATACCCCTAACTCATACTCACTCTGGGTTCATCATCCTCCCCAGCTCCCTAACTTAGAGGGCACTGGTACCGAATAACTCTTCATACTTCCTTGAGCACTAGGTACAACTCTCAGCAACAACAGGTAGGTAGGTGGACAGATAGATGCCATCTAAGCTGTGGGCCTGGTATGCATGGCCCCCTCCCTCTCCTGCACGACAACAGCCTGAGAGTCCCCAGGATCATGTCTCCCAGACACAAACAAACTTGGGCTCATCGTTCTCTCTTAAACTCCTGGTATGAGGGTTCTGGGGCAATTTGGTCACATACCTTCCCCACATGCATATTACTCACTGGCTAACTCCTCATACACCTGATCCCCATCACCACCACCCAGCCCACAAAACTGGCATGTCTCCTGCCTCCTCACATACCCTCCTGCACATGGCATCAGAAAGTTCCTGCCAATGCAACAGGATCCCACCGTACCCCAACTCTCCACTGGTCTGTTCTGAAGGCTTCTCCACCAGGTCTTGTTCCTAACTTTAACCTCAGTCAAAACATGCAAATCTAAATACGCCTGTTTATGTTACACCTCTGTATTACACATTATATCTCTTCACCAGTTGCAATCTCTGTCAATATAACACCCATTCAAAATCCACACCCACTTGACACACCTTAGGTAAACTCATCCGACATTCTGTCAGAAACTATCCAAGTTCCATCACAAAAGCCTAGTGAGTGCACAGAAAGAAAAATAATCACCAGCCTGACTTTACTTTCACTTCACCTCCATTCTGCTTTCCCTCTGCATCAATTTATCAATTTCATAGGCACTCCCCCATAAAATCCTGAGCCACCTGCTGGACTCCCCCCCCCCCCCCTTCCCAATGATGACCACTATTCTTATCTGTCTTTGTGACAGCCCCGTTCTCTTCCCTTGTCCCCTAATGGTATCCTGAAGCCTCCCCCAGCACTCTAGATCTGCACGTTCAGCCGTCCCCTTGTCTCCTATACTTGGAGACACTGGAACATCTGAGAATCAAAACAGCCAAAACCCAATTCCTAATATTCTCACGGAAAAGGACTGCTACCACTGACTTCCCCATCTCAGTTGATGGCACTGCCACCCTTCCAGATGCAAAGGGAAAAAAAATTTGGAGTCATCCGTGAGCTCTCCACATAAGAAAATCTGGTCAGCCCCTACTTTAAAGCAAATCCAGAAGCCAAGTATTTCTCCTACCTCCTCATGCACCACTTTGGTCCAGCAAGAACTAATGTGCATCTGGATGACTGCAATAGCCTCCTTCATTATCTCCTTGTCTTTCTTTCCCCCAGTCTCTTGTACACTCTGCAGCCAGGAGTAGCCTCTTAAAACCTAAGTCACATCACTTTCCCTCTCTGTTCCAAAAATTCCATGTCTGCCATCATTCTCAGAACAGAAACCTCTTCTCAGTCTACCATTCTAGGTCTAACCTTGGCCCCCTTGCTCTCTGTTCTTACTAGCTGTTAACAAAGACCTACAAGTCCTAAAACACTCCCATCTCAATCTCATCCTCAAACATTTATACATATTACCCGCTATACCTAAGACAACCTTTCACATCTCAGTCCACTGGCTGCCAAAAATGGGAATCTGTCCATATAACCTCTGGCCTGGACTTGGAAACCTGGGCTTAGGGTCCCCAGACACCAAGTCCAGGAAGAGTGGCAGCAAAAGGCTTCTAGGACACCTGACACTCACCAGTGCAGGGTCCATAAGTGGTTCTGCTGAATGTGGAACCTGTAGGAAGAGTAGGGCCATGTAATATTAATTCCCATCAGCAATATAGACAAAAAAGGTTAATGAGTGAACCATTTAATATTTCAGATGAAGACAAATGCTCAAGAGGAAACTAAAGCATAAAAGAGGGCAGAAAATGTTACAGTTGCACCATAAGGTCATGTGGATATCTTGAGAAAAGGCTGTCCAAAAGTGGGACAAATAAGTACAAAGCCTCTCTGTCAGAGTCATGCCTGGTGTGTTTGAGCAGCATTTACGAAGATAGTATGACTGGAGCCCAGTGAGCCCAGAAGAATACGGGATCGTGTTGGCAAGGAAATGGTGTTGGAAGGTCATAAAGCACTATTAGAGTCCTAAGTAACAAATATCAAAATTAAGTCTCATTTTACATGCAGGTCTGTTTCTGACACTTCCATTTGATTCCTTCTTCTGTCTATTTCTCCCTTGTCAATAATACATTTTTCTCTTCTTGTAGCTTGTAGTTGGCCCTAACATCTGATCAGAAGTTCATATATTATACTTCCTTTTCCAATTTTACTTGGTTATCTTTTTGTTTTTTGGTTTATTTTTGCAGTATGCGGGCCTCTCACCATTGTGGCCTCTCCCGTTGCAGAGCACAGGCTCCAGACACGCAGGCTCAGTGGCCATGGGTCATGCGCCCAGCCACTCTGCAGCATGTGGGGTCTTCCCAGACCAGGACACGAACCCGTGTCCCCTGAATTGGCAGGCAGACTCTCAACCACTGCGCCACCAGGGAAGCCCCTTGGTTATCTTATAAATTATTGCTTTATATAAAATTTCAGCTTACATAATCCATATACTAAGTTCTGATTAGAAATTATTATAACATTATGGAGACTGATTCAAGATGGCGGAGTAGAAGGATGTGTGTTCACTGCCTTTTGTGAGTGCACTGGAATTACAACTTACTACTGAACAATCACTGACAGGAAGACACTGGAACTCAGGAAGAAAAATACCCCACATCCAAAGACAAAGCAGAAACTGCAATGAGACAGTAGGAGAGGTGCAATCACAATAAAATCAAATCCCATAACTGCCAGATGGGTGACTCACAAACTGGAGAACACTTATAGAACAGAAGTCCATCCACTGGAGTGAAGGTTCTGAGCCCCAAGTCAGGGTTCCAACCTTGGGGTCTGGCAACAGGAGGAGGAATTCCCAGAGAAACAGACTTTGAAGGCTAGCAGGATTTGACTACAGGACTTCGACAGGACTGGGGGAAACATATACTCCAAGCTTGGCGGGCATACACAAAGTAGTGTGCACATCAGGACCCGTAGTGACTCCATAGGAGACTGAACCAGACCTACCAGCTAGTGTTGGAAGGTATCCTGCAGATGCAGGGTATGGCTGTGGCTCACCACAGGGACAAGAACAGTGGCAGCAGAAGCTCTGGGAAGTACTCCTTGGCATGAGCCCTCCCAGAGTCCACCATTAGCCCCATCAAAGAGCCTGTAGCCTCCAGTGCTGCGTCGCCTCCGGCCAAAAAACCAACAGGCAGGGAACTCAGCCCCACCCATCAACAGACAAAACAATTTAAGTTTTACTGAGCTCTGCCCACCAGAGCAACACCCAGCTCTACCCACCACCAGTCCCTCCCATCAGGAAGCTTGCAAAAGCCTCTTAGATAGCCTCATCCACCAGAGGGCAGACAGCAGAAGCAAGAAAAACTACAATGTTGCAGCCTGTGGAATGAAAACCACGTTCACAGAAAAACAAACAACATGAAAAGACAGATGACTATGTACCAGGTGAAGAAACAAGATAAAATCCCAGAAAAACTACTAAATGAAGTGGAGATAGGCAAACCTCGGAAAAAGAATGGAGGCAAAGATCAAGAAGACGCAAAAAATGTTTAAAAAGACCTAGAAGAATTAAAGAACAAACAGAGATGAACAATACAATAACCAAAATGAAAAATATATTAGAAAGAATCAATACCAGAATAACTGAGGCAGAACTCACCTGGAAGACAGAATGGTGGAATTCACTGCCACGGAACAAAGAAAAAAGGATGAAAAGAAAAGAAGACAGCCTAAGAGACCTCTGGGACAAAGTTAAATGCAACAGCATTCGTATTATACAGGTCCCAGAAGCAGAAGAGAGAGACAACAGACCTGAGAAACTATCTGAAGAGATTATAGTCGAAAACTTCCCTAACATGGGAAAGGAAATAGCCACCCAAGTCCGGCAATCACAGAGAGTCCCAGGCAGGACAAACCCAAGGAGTAACATGCTGAGACACATAGTAATCAAACAGACAAAAATGAAAAACAAAGAAAAATTATTGAAAGCAACAAGGGAAAAACGACAAATAACATACAAAGGAACTCCCATAAGGTTAACAGCTGATTTCTCAGCAGAAACTCTACAAGCCAGAAGGGAGTGGCATGATATATTTCAAGTGATGAAAAGAACCTATATCGAAGATTAATCTCATTCAGGATCTCATTCAGATTTGATGGAGAAATCAAAAGCTTTACAGACAAGCAAAAGCTAAGAGAATTCAGCACCACCAAACCAGCTCTATAACAAATGCTAAAGGAACTTCTCTAAGTGGGAAACACAAGAGAAGAAAAGGACCTACAAAAACAAACCCAAAACAATTAAGAAAATGGTAGCAGGAACATCCATATCGGTAATTACCTTAAACGTGAATGGATTAAATGCTCCAACCAAAAGACACAGGCTCGCTGAATGGATACAAAAACAAGACCCATATACATGCTGTCTACAAGAGACCCACTTAAGGGGTAAGACTTAGGGACACATAAGACTGAAAGTGAGGGGATGGAAAAAGATATTCCATGCAAATGGAAATCAAAAGACAGCTGGAGTAGCAATACTCATATCAGATAAAATAGACTTTAAGATAAAGAATGTTACAAGAGACAAGGAAGGACACTACATAATGACAAAGGGATCAATCCAAGAAGCAATAACAATTATAAATATATATGCACCCAACATAGGAGCACCTCAATACATAAGGCAAATGCTAACAGCTATAAAAGAGGAAATTGACAGTAACACAATAATGATGGGGGACTTTAAGACCTCACTTACATCAATGGACAGATCATCCAGACAGAAAATAAAGAAACACAAGCTTTAAATGACACAGTAGACCAGATAGATTTAATTGATATTTATAGAACATTCCATCCAAAAACAGCAGATTACACTTGCTTCTCAAGTGCACACAGAACATTCTCCAGGATAGAGCACATCTTGGATCACAAATCAAGCCTCAGTAAATTTAAGAAAATTGAAATCGTATTAAGGATCTTTTCCAACCACAACGCTATGAGATTAGAAATCAATTACAGGGAAAAAAAGGTAAAAAACACACACAGAGGCTAAACAGTACATTACTAAATAACCAAAAGATCACTGAAGAAATAAAAAAATATCTAGAGACAAATGACAATGAAAACACGATGATCCAAAACCTATGGGATACAGCAAAAGCAGTTCTAAGAGGGAAGTTTATAGCAATACAAGCCTACCTCAAGAAACAAGAAAAATCTCAAATAAACAATCTAAACTTAGACCTAAAGGAACTAGAGAAAGAAGAACAAACAAAACTCAAAGTTAGTAGAAGGAAAGAAATCATAAAGATCAGAGCAGAAATAAATGAAATAGAAACAAAGAAAACAATAGCAAAGATCAATAAAACTAAAAGCTGGTTCTTTGAGAAGATAAACAAAACTTATAAACCTTTAGCCGGACTCATCAAGAAAAAGAGGGAGAGGACTCAAATCAATAAAATTAGAAATGAAAAACGAGAAGTTACAACAGACACCACAGAAATACAAAGCATCATAAGAGACTACTAAGGGACTTCCCTGGTGGTACAGTGGTTAAGAATCCACCTGCCAATGCAGGGGACACAGGTTTGAGCCCTGCTCTGGGATGATCCCACATGCCGCGGAGCAACTAAGCCCGTACACCACAACTACTGAGCCCAGGTGCCACAACTACTGAAGCCTGCGTGCCTAGAGCTCATGCTCCACAAGAGAAGCCGCCACAATGAGGAGTCCACACACCGCAATGAAGACCCAATGCAGCCAAAAATAAATAAATAAAATTTTTTTTTAAATTGAAGAATAAAAGCCATATGATCATCTCAATAGATGCAGGAAGGGCTTCCCTGGTGGCGCAGTGCTTGAGAGTCCGCCTGCCGATGCAGGAGACGCGGGTTCGTGCCCCGTTTCGGGAAGATCCCACATGCCGCGGAGCGGTTGGGCCCGTGAGCCATGGCCGCTGAGCCTGCGCGTCCGGAGCCTGTGCTCCGCAAATGGGAGAGGCCACAACAGTGAGAGGCCCGCATAACGCAAGGGAAAAAAAAAAAAAAAAAAATAGATGCAGGAAAAGCTTCTGACAAAATTCAACACTCATTTACATGATAAAAACTCTCCAGAAAGTGGGCATTGAGGGAACCTACCTAAATATAATAAAGGTCATATACAATAAACCCACAGCAAACATCATTCTCAATGGTG